AACCAAACTGTACAGCGTACAAGTAGTGTTTGAGTCAGCGAAAATGAAACTGAATGTCCACGTCTACTCCACAAAATGCGCATTTCCGTTTATAACGACGGCGTTTACAATCCCGAACGTTAAACATCGATATGCTAACAAATAATGTGGATAAAATCCTAACAAATGGAAAACATAATGCATTAACTATCAAACCAATATCACAAAAAAACACAATGTGAAGCGCAAAGCTATATCAAAGTTTTTACTGTTGAACACTACTACTCTCAAACCTTTTATTAAAATTTGTACCAATTATACTCAAATCAAGTTACAAATATTACATTATTAGTAGGAACATTTTTTAGATATTAAAAACATCCAAAGCTGTATTAGGATTCAGTGTTGAACTATCTGTTCAATAAAAATACAAATGCGTCTAAACAAGTTAAAAAATAAATAGGCTGTAATTCGATTTTTGTGATATGCTTCAATTATTTGTCATTTATTGTTTGAATCCAAATGAACGATAAAACTGATCCTGTGATTTTGTTATTTGTTGCTAAAATTGTTATGCTATTACAGGGTATTTAAACGTATCGCATACGTGCATGTAACACATTCCTTTTTTTTTTTTTTTAGAACGAGTTTGCACTATACCAATGCAAATACATTCACAGTTGTAACTGAATTCCAGAGGGAAACATGCAAACTGCAGTCAAAGACTCCGGCGCAGCCCCCCCTGCATCCGCCTACGGTGGCCGATGAAACGTCTTGGGGTTCTGCCATATGGATAGGAAGCCCATCCTCCACGTGGCCTGCTCCCCTGCCTCACAGATCCTCGCGATCGCCGCACGTTCATCTCCTTCCAGCCCCCCCCATGGGTCCCGTGGTTGCCCTTTTCTCCCCCCCCCACCTGCCTTCCTCAACTTTTCCGCTCTGTAGAGCCTCGCATGCCGCATGAAGTCATAGATTGCCGCCCGTGCCACCTTTTTCCTCTGAAATTTCTCCTTCCGGTACACCGCATCCACTCTGGCCAACCAAATCCTGCGCATTGTCACTGCTGTCAACGTCGCCCCTGGAAACCCGGATTTCGTGGCCCCCTCCTGAAACAGCATGTCTCCCAGTGTCCTCATTTGGTCTGCTGGGTTTATGATCCCCAATGACCTCAGCAGCGCGCCGATCACCGGTTGGATGACTGGGCAGGTGAGCATGCAGTGAGCTAGGGTTTCTGGCTCTCCACAGTGTGGGCAGCACCCCCTGGCTCCAAGAAACACCAGCCTCCCCCCCACCTGCAGGTTCTTGCTGTGCATCCTCAGCAGCACATCGCTTGCTCTGTACGGGATCACCAGCGAGTCCCTTCTTTCTCTGACCGCCTTCCAGTCTATTTTGTTCCCCCACTCCTCTTCCCATTCGTGTCTCCGTCTGGACGTCACCACGGGCCCTGCCGGCCTCATATCGTCTCCTACCAGCGATGTCAGGCACAGCTTCGCTCTCGGCTCGCCCATCGCGCCAAGCACTCTCCCCCCTTTTACTGTCACCGGGGTTATACTCTTAACAGGGAACGAAACCGCGTAAGGTCTTTGCGGCACCACCAGACTTGCGCCGTCCGGACACTCCAGATGGTCGGTAGCCACCTCCTCACCCTTGACCCCCTTTACCGTCCAGTAAAGAAACTTCTGCGCCTGTGCCAGAAATGTTCGCACCACCTTTGCTGCTGCCACCACTGCTCCCGCTGACCTCTGCACCGTCAACATCGCCTTCCACTCGTCAGGGATCGCCTCATACGCTTTTCTCGCCCATCTCCCCGATGCCACGCTTCCGAAATCTGTTGTTAGCTCCTTGACGCTTTTAACTTCCCTGCTACCATCTCCCCTAGTGATGAGCAGGTCTCCCAGTCTGGTTGTCCGGATTCCTGCTGCCCCCTGGCGGTTCCCGAACGGGCTCCCCCCCTTGAACATAATTTTCCGGTTGAAGCATAGCATCTCGCGCTCGGCTTCCCACCCATTCGATGGCGCCGGAAGGTCTGCAAACGGGGACTCCCAGAAAACTTCTGCTATCGCCTTCCACCTCTTGCTACCTTTTCCCCAATGTCTACCAGCAGACTTGTGGGCGAAAAAGGTCGCCACTCCCTGCGGAAGTGCCGCCGCCTTCTCCGACAACCACCGTTTGGTAACGTCTTGCTCCGTGAGAAATTTCCCCACCTGCCGTATAGCCAGGCTATCAATCCGTTCCTTCGGGTCGACTAACCCCAGTCCACCTTCCTTTTTTGGCAGGCGAGCCAGCTCTCCGCTCCACAATACGAAGATCTTCTCCGCCGTCGCTTCCCCTTTTGATACATAGTTGTCACACGTCTTCCGGATCCTCTCCCATAGTTCCTCCGGCGGCGGGTAAATCTGCGCTTGAAACAGAAGAATCGGCATAATGTAATTGTTGATAATCGTCACTCTTGCAGCTGTCAGCAGATGATGGCTCTCCCACTTCGCTAACTCCTTCTTCCCCTTTTCCCATGCCTTCTCCCAGGATGGGCCTGCTTCTCCGTCCGGCGTCACCCAGACCCCCAGTAGCCGTTCTGGGACTCCTGTCTCCGCCCACTTGAACGTCACCCCCGGTAATGTCGTTCTGCCTTTGTTCCTTCCAAGCGGCATGATAATCGATTTGTCTCTGTTGATGTGTAGCCCCGACAGCTCCCCGAACCAGTCCAGGGCCCCCGCCGCAGCCTGCAGCTGAGCTTCACCATTCAGGATTAAGGAGGTGTCATCCGCGTACCCTACGTATGACACAGCCTCCTTGCCTTCCGCCTTGATCCCCAAACCTCTTTTCCTGATTTCCGCGCAGAGCGGCTCCAGAGCGCACAGGAAAAGGTAAGGCGCTAACGGACATCCTTGCCTCACCCCCCTCTGCATCTCCACTCGCTCGCCTAACCAGCCGTTGATTGCCAATCTGGTCCCCGAACCCTTGTGCAGGCCCGCCGTCCATTTGACAAACTGTCCCGGCAGCCCGAGTTTCTCCAGCGTCTTGAAGAGGAAAGGCCGCGATACAGTATCATACGCCTTCTGAAAATCAACCAGCAGGAGGTACCAGTCCTCCCCGTCGTTATCCGCCGCTTCAATCGCGTCTGCGACCAACGCCACCGCGTCCGCCAAACTTCGACCCGGTATGAACCCGTGTTGCTCCTTCGAGATTATATGATGCAGCTCTTGCTTCAGCCTGTTCGCCAGCACCTTCGCAAGTACCTTGTAAACCGTCGTAAGTAGCGTTATCGGCCTGTAGTTGGCCAGCAAGTCTTTCTCCCCCTTCTTGTGTAGCAGGACTGTTACTGCTGTAGTCAGCGATTCTGGTAATGCCCCCGTTGCCTCGAAATCTCTGACAAACCTCATGAAAGCCCCCCCCAACAGGTCCCAGTGCTCCACGAAAAGCTCCGCCGGGAGCCCATCCTGCCGTGGTGACTTCCCTTTTGGCAGCCCTTCCAGCGCCTCCTTCACCTCCTTCTCAGTCCACGCGGCCCCAAGCTTGACTACCGCTTCCGCCGGCAAAACCCTGTCCACACTGAAATCGTTCTGCTCCCACCTCACCCCAGGCTGCCCCTCACTGAAGGCTTCCGCGAAGTGAGCCGAGGCTGCCTTGAGCACCGCATGCGATCCTCTGCACCTCTCCCCTTTGAATCGCACTTCCTCAATCACCGTGCGTTCCTTCCTCATCTTGACCTTGGCAGACAGGAAGGGTGACGGGATCTCTCCCTGCAGTTCCTCCGTGAGCCCCGCAAAGACCTCCAGCCTCTCCCGTCCGTTCTCTCGATAGGCTTCCAACTGCTCCTCCCTGGTGAGTAGCAGCGCCTTCGTTGCGTCGTCTGTCGGTCCGCCCATGACCAAATGTCGCATCCGTTCAACTTCCTCCGTCAGATGCAGCTGCGTCGCTGCCACCCTCTTCCTCTCTTCCTTCTCATGCATACGCAGCCCCGTCGACAGCCTCGAGATCACCCTCTCCAGCGACCCTTGGCCTGACCGGTTGAGCGCCTCCGCGACCGCCTTAACAATTTTCCTCACCCCCTCTTTTTTCTTCCTTGTTGCGTGAAACCTCCAGAGTCCCGGCCCAGACGCGTGCTCCGATACGAATTTAAGCCGGATCTTGATGGCGAAACTGTGGTCCGACAGCTTCCTCGGCACCTCCACATGGCGAGCTCCTTCCAGGTTGCCTAGCAGCGACACCGAGACCAAAGCCCTGTCAATGCGAGACTTCGACCCCGTGGCTCTCACCCTGAAGGTGTACTCCTTTTCCGCGGGGAACAGCGCGCTGAAAGCGTCACGGAGGTCGTGAGGCTGCCAGGCATCCACGAATCGCTGGTTCTCCCTCCCCGACCCTGTTTCCGGCGACCGATCTAACTCTGGATCAGCAATTATGTTGAGATCCCCCACAACCACCAGGTGCTTCGAGGCCGGTTGTGCCTGCACGAAAGGCTCTAAGTGCTCCCTGTGAAACCTTGCTCTATTGCAGGCTTGCGCCGGAAGGTACGCCGCAACCAACCGAAAAGGTTCTTCTCCTCCCTCCACTGTCACCCCCAGCAGCCTCCCTGACACATCCGCCATGACGTCCGAGAACCGGATATGTCTGCCGAAGGTCATGACGGCCACTCCGCCTGCAGTCTGACTCGGCCCCACCGCAGCCCACGCCTTTGGTTTAATCTCACTCCAGAAATTGTGGTCTTCCTTGATTCGTGTGTCTGAGAGCACCATGATGTCTGCTGATGTGCGCAGCCATCTCCTATTCTTGGTTCTTTTGCCGCTACCGCCGAGGCCGTTAACATTGACCCCGCAGATGGTGAGGTTTGGTGCTTTACCCATTAATCCGCTTGAAAGGAGGCCCTTCGCATCCACGGCCTTTATTAAGAATGATACAACAAAGCCTGATTCCCTCTGATGCTACTTCTGCTTCTTCCTGCCGTGCAGGTTCTGAAACTGAAACTGCCATCTCCCCTGTTTGGAGCGTCCTCGCCAGCGTCAGCACCACCACCAGCCTACCCGTCACATCTTGAAATCCTTCTTGACTTGGCCCAGGGCCTGCTTCCCCATGCTCAGACGGGTCGCTGCGCCAGCCTTGAGCAACCCAGTGCCGTGACGAACTGACTGCACGTGCTCGACCGCCTTTTCGAAACTGGTACCATGGGTCTTCCCGCACTCCTCCTGCGCGCACAGCCACTCCTCCCGAACACCTCCTGTGGAGACGAAAGCGATCGCCGGGTCCGCAAGCAGAGTCTTCATCGCCGGAGTGAGCTTCATGGAAGCAGCTGCTCGGAGGGGAGACGGTACAAAGGTGAGACGTGGGATCTGCCGCTGCGACCGCCTGCAAAACAAGGTGAGAGCGAGGTGAGTTACCATTGATCTCATGCGCACGCATCAGCGTCAGATTCCAGTTCCCAATGTTGTTCTGCCGCTCCTTCACATAATCATCATGAAAGCATGACATATGCATCCCGTTGCAGAAACCACAGGTGAGAGCAGGAAACGACACCATCAGCTCCACTCCGAGGACGCGGTCGGTGACCTTGTGCCACCACTTATACTTATCCCCCGGATGCCTGAACACCAGGCCCTTAATCTTGTCCGTGTCTGATCCCGAAACCGGATCCAGCACCCGGTGAAACGCCGACCCATCCAGGAAAGCAGTACGACCCCTCTTCAACAGCACCGCAGTCACCAGGTTCTTCTTGATCATCGCCGGTGAGATCACCGCCGGGACCCCTTTCAGCAGGACTTCAATCGCCTCAGGATGAGCCGCACGCTCTCTCAGGTACTCCTTATTTTCCGGATGCAGCCAACCAAGCGTTAACTTCTTCTCATTCACCGTGTAATGTTCAATCTCCCTGCCGCGCATGAAATTGGCGTCAGCCTCCTGCAGGAAGACCACCTCGACTCGACCGAAGTGCTGCTTCGAGAGGAAAGTAGCCGTGAGTTGCTGACATCTTGTCGTTGCGCTTGCATTCTCCGACATGTGTTTCCCCCACATCCTCAGCAGGTGATAGACCGTTCCAATGATGCGCGGAATCTCCTTACTCCAGGCGAAGGGAACCAGCAGCGTGATGGCGACCCCTGCTTGAGCCGCAATGTCATTCAGCACAACTGGGTCCTGACACTCATCCGGGTCGTCGCTCAGGTAACCGCCGTCTTCATCCTCCTCCTGGACCTTAGCCTTCCCTTTTTCCACCGCGCTTGAGCTTGCAGGCGGAGCAGCCGATACCTTGCCTTCTTCCTTATGGCTGCTTGACTTTCCGCTCTCGTCTTGCAGATCGTTGATACGCAACGCCGACGTACGCGCTGTCGGTGTGTTGATAGCGTCATCACCACGCGAAGCCGTCGCGCCATTGAAAAGCGTTTTCGGGGTGACCGGCTCAGGACGGATCTCCGTTGGCTTCTTGCCATGCTGACCCGCGACAGGAGCGACCACCACGGGAGTCCCTTCAGGAGGAGCCATAGTGCGATGATGATAAGAGCAGCTGGATAATGCGGTAGTTGAGAGCGGAGAGAAACTGAGCACTGGAAGCTCCCTTCCTGACTTGTGTTTGTCCCTCCACCAACGCTTGTATAAATAGTATAGAATGACCTTGTGAAGCGCCTCGGTTCGAACACCCTTGGAAATAGACTGGCATGGTCCCTTGGAACTGTCTCGCACCCAGCAGAAACCATTGTCGATGTGGACCTGGAAAGTGCCTGACAAAACGGCCGAATGGTAAATGTTCGTCTGATGAACACAAAAAATGTACCAACGGACTCTTAAAGTCTTAAGGAGACAAATGTCAAGAAATTGCTGGACATTGACACGCGCGAAGTTCTCAGGATCAGCCATGGCGGCCTTGAGGTTGTCATTGTCATGCCTGTATTGCCATCCATTCCATTCATTCATTCATTACACAAGTCCATGTAACACATTCCGTTTGTAAACGTTCGTCTACTAAACAATAATGCGCATTCTGTGGAGTATACGTGGATAGTCAGTTCAATTTCGCTGAGTCAAATCCTACTTGTACGGCGTACAGTTTTGTTGGAACGCGAAGTTACCAGCCAGGAATTCGGGATGCACTGTTCATTACCATTTGGGCAATAATGTTGACCATCTAGTCGTTTTGGTTACCACGGTGGCGAAGATAAGATACCTTTGTTACGATCTGGACACGTGGCTTACCTCGGGTGCGATCGAGCCTAATGTGTGTTACCGCGGAGGTAAATGCCCTTCATCACCACTAATCACCACCACCCACACACCACCCCTAACGAAAAAACGGACTGCTCGCACGCAAACCTCGGATTTTCGCATGGGGTCTACATTCGTCGTACACCAATAACGAAACCTCGAGGAGAGACGGTCATGTTCGCTAGCTACTGGCTGTTGTAGTTTGTCGGCTGCCCGGCGCCTTCGGGTTTTCCAAGGTCAGCCCATAAACTCAGCAGCGAGGTCGGGCGATTTCTCCAAGGCGGAGCGGCAACTGTCCTTGCAACTTCAGCAAGATATTTTCAGGGGTAAACCGCCCTTGCAACCCTTCCCTCCCTCTTCGGGCTCTCCGCGAGGGTGGCTGGCTGGCCTTGCTCGAGGTTGCACTTCCCAAGAAGAAGCTGTTGCACGTGTTTGTAAGCACGTCTTGTATCGTACCGAGGAGTGTCGAGGTGGGTGAGGGATTGCTGCTGGAGCTGGAAGGCAGTGCGTGGTGGTGAATTCTGCAGATTGTGAAGAGAGGCCACGGAAGTGAGAGAGAGTCATCGTCGCAGCAGAATTTGTGTGTATACAGGAGGGAGAACGGAAGGGAAAGTGACAGGAAGTTCTGAGCGCGTTGATTGGACCGGACTGACGACGCATGTAGTTGCCATTTGACGACGCATGCGAGACTCAGATTGCGGAGTCTTTTTTCTTGAATTAGCTGCGACTGAACGATTTTGTTTGGGGAATTCTTATCAGTCAAGTTCAGAGGCGCCTAAGAAATAGACTCAGTTGCCGTTTGACGACGCGTCGCCTTGCTTTCAGGATCTCGGCCACCCAAACTCGAGCGAGTGTCCCTCAATTCGCTCTGTAGCGCTCGACCGTCTCTCTTCTCTTCCCTCTCTTCCTGTCTTTTCAATCTTGCCTGCCGGAATTTACCGTTACCACTCCCTGTGGGCCCCAATCACCCCTCACGTAAACTCAGGCCACCTTCCATCTTCAGTCTCCGTCACCACCGCCATCATATTCCACCTTTCTCACGCACTCCTCGCCTGCGCGCCGCCTTCCGCCTCACCTCCGCCTCACCTGCCCCTCGCCTGCGCTTCGCCTGCACCGCACCTGCGCCTCGCCTGTGCCTCACCCCCCCTTCTGCTCCATCCTTTCTCACCTCCGCTCACCACACATCCCCTGTCTCCCCTCATCCTAGTTCCTTTACTTATCTCGCCGCGCCGCCTCGAACCACCCTGCGTAGCCTTATCTACCCTCACGCGCGGTTCCCTGTGTCAATTCTCCAGTCTCTTGTTACCACCCGTTCGTCATCGCTGTTCCCGCTGTTCCCGCATCACCGTGCAACGCCGTCCCGTTGACATCTTGCCGTCCGTCCCACCCTACGCCCCAATCAACTCTTCCGTGGCAGACTCTCACCTTCTCGCCCCCTCTCCGTTACGTTCACACCCTCGCGCCCCTTCACTTTTCCTCGCTCCCGCTCTCTCTCCGCCTCGCGCGGCTCCGCCCATTCCCTCTAATCTCGGCACAGCGAGCTCCCGAACCTAACAACCATGGACCTGCGAACCTTTTCACCCACATCCATCTCACTGTCAGACCCGCGCATCGGCGCTAGCTTACCCATGGCGGCACACAGGACTTGTCACCTCGCGCTTGCTTCTCACCCGCTCTCGCTTCCTGTTACCACCGCACGCCCCTCCGCTTCCTCCGCCTCCTCCCCTTCCGCCGGTCCCTCCGTTCCCTCTCCCGCGGACCGTTTCCTCCGCTCTCCCGCTGCTGGACTGGCGCCGATTTTCCGCAGCTCCCTCTCTCTTCCGCGCGCTTCGGCGCGTGGCTCGTGTATACACCCGCTCTCCTCCCCTCTCTTCACCCCGCGGGGAAGGGGAGGCGGGCGGAGTGGGGAGAGGGCGGGTGCGGTGAGAGTGCGCGCGGGGAGGAGTGAGACGGAGGAGGCGCAGGGCGGTGCGGGGGCTATGCCGACTCAAAGCGTGCGCGATTTGCAGAGGGTGTGTGCTCCATGTGTCTTCTCCACCTTCTCCCCTGCCCCCACCCCACCCCCTCGTCCGTCCTGTCTTCCCGCTCTTCGCCGCTTTCTTACCTCCTCTCTTCGCTCCTCTCTTCTCTCCTTTCTTCGCCCTTCGTCCTCCCTCTCTTTTCTCCCTCACTTCCCACTCTCTTGCCCGCTCCTTCCCTCTATCTTCCCGCTCTCCATTTCCTTTTCTTCCCCCTCCATCCTCTTCTTCCTCACCTCTCCCTCTCTTCCCCCTTCTCTTCCCCTCTCTTCCGCCCTCTCTTCCCCTTTATTTTCCCCTCTTCCAACGCTCTTGTCCCTCCTCACTCGTCCCTCCTTCCCTCCTCTTTTCCCCCTCTTCCACCCTTTCCTCCCCCTCTTGTCCCCGTCTTTCCCCCTCTCTTCCTTTCTCTCCTTCCCCCTCTCTTCCCTGCTCTTTCTTCTTCTCATCCCCCTCTCTTTCCTGCTCTTTCCCCTCTTATCCCCCTCTCTTCCCTGCTCTTTCCCCCTCTCACCCCCCTCTCTTCCCTGCTCTTTCCCCCTCTCATCCCCCTCTCTTCCCCCTCTCTTCCCCCTCTCTTCCCCCTCTCTTCCCCCTCTCTTCACCCTCTCTTCCCCCTCTCTTTCCCTCGCTTCCTCCCTCTCTCATCCCCCTCTCGTCCCTGCTCTTTCCCTCTCTTTCCCCCTCTCTTCCCCGTCTCTTCCCCCTCTCTTCCCCCTCTCTTCCCCCTCTCTTCCCCCTCTCTTCCCCCTCTCTTCCCCCTCTCTTCCCCCTCTCTTCCCCCTCTCTTCCCCCACGCTCCCCCCTCTCTTCCCGCCTCTCTTTTCCTCTCATCTTCCTCGTCCCGTCCGCTTCCCTTTTTTATTACCCCAATTTCCATCACCTCTCCCTCCCTTACCCCACTGCTCGGCACACCCTCTCGCCCATCATCCCATCCCGTCCCTTCCTTCGCTCTCACTCGTTTGAGCTTCAACCATCATGAGCTCTAAACAGGACGTACTCTCCGCCACTGATTCCCCGTTTCTCTGCCACATGCTCCTTCCTACCTCCGTCCCTTGCTCCTCCCTTGCGGGTCCCCTTCCTCACTTCCCTCTCTCACTTCCTCATCAGCCTTACCGGCCATCCGGCCCTTCAGAGCGAGTCAACACCTTTGTTCGATTCTTATATGGCACAGGTAGGTAACCATCCTTCCCTGCCTCATCTCTCGCTTGTACTCTGGCATGGCATATGGCACACAGAGGCATTCACGCAGAAGCGTGTCATTTACAGGCGCTCATATTCTCTCGTTCACTTCCCACTGCCTGCCTTCCTCGCTTTCTCTCTCTCTCTCTCTCTCTCTCTCTCTCTCTCTCTCTCTCTCTCTCTCTCTCTCTCTCTCTCTCTCTCTCTCTCTCTCTCTCTCTCTCCCCAGCTACTTATGCTGGGTTAGCAACAGCTGCCGTTGCTGGAGCACAGCTGGCGGGTCTTGATTGGTCCGGAGGGTTCCAGCTGTCGCTACAAGGAGTGCTAGACGGATTCGCCTTCTCTGCTCCTGCCATCGCCCTTGTTCTTGCACTCTTCCAGGTTCGTTCCCTCTCCCCTCTTCCCTCTCTCCTCTTCCCTCCTCCCTCATCCCGCAACCCTCCTGTCTCCTCGTTCTCCTCCTTTTCCTATCTTGCTACTCTTCCTCCACACTCTTCTCTCTCCCATATCGCCCCCCCCCTCTCTTCACTCTCTCATCTTTCCTTCTCGTCTCTCCCCTCTCATCTTCCCTTTCTCGTATCTGCCCTCTCTCCTCCCTCCCCTCTCCCTTCCCCTACTCCCCATTCTCCCGTCTCTCCTCTCCCTCTCCTCCCTCTTTCTCTCCCCATCCCGTCTCTCTCCCTCCCCACATCTACACATCCCGTCACTCTATCACTTACATCCGTCCTTGCTCCACTATTCCACCTCGCTCAATCTGCTTCTCTTCGCACAGAAGCAAGTGGCAATATCTTTGAGACTTTTCAAAAGGTCATATACTCTCCCATCTCCCTCCCTCCTCCGCACTCCGCCGTCCCAACCCCCCCTGCAACCACACCCCCCACACGCACAGGATCGAGTGGCGGAGCGGTGGGAGGTGGTGAGGGCAGTGCGGGACGCGGACGACGAGGAGGCAGAGGAGTTTTTCCAGGGCATGGCAGCGTGGCAGTACACCATCGTGGCAGTCTCGGCCGCGCTATCAGAAGAGCTCTTCTTCCGCGCTGCCCTGCAGGCCTTCCTCACTCGCGCTCTGCTGCTCTCTGGCGCGCCCTCGCTTGACGCCCCCGTCGTCGGCATGGCTGCTCTGGTGGGTTTGGAGTGGGAGGCGGGGAGGGGGATAAGTGGGGTGGAACGGGTGGGGGGACTGGCAGGAGGGGTGAGGGGATTGGAGGGAGGGGTCGGGGGGTTGAGGGAGTGTGGGGATGGGAGGGTTGCTGGCCCGGAGGGGTGGGTGGCAGGCAACGGGGGAGGGTTATGGAGAGGGGGACAGCTCGGGAGGAGGGAGGGCGAAGGGGGGGAAGGGTGGGGTGGGGTGCCTGCTTTATTAAAGGTCAAGCGTGAGGGACGAGAGGGTTCTTTACTCTCAGTCCCCCAGGTCTTAGTACTCATTGTATGCGTTGAGTTGCACAAATCGGCTGCAGAGCACTCTGCTTACCACATCCCCTTACCTCCCCTCTCCTCTCCTCTCCTCTCCTCTCCCCTCCTCTCCCGTCCTCTCCGTCTCCTGCCCCATCCCTCCCCTCCCCTCCTCTCCTCGCCTCTCCTCTCCTCTCCCTTTCCCTCACCCCCCATGCTCCGGATGCTCAACGTGCTTGCTCTACCAGACGGGCTGTCTGCCATCCATGGCGCCTTGCACGCAGTTCTGTGCCGCCACACTCACAGCAGCGCTCGCCGGCACGCTGCACTACGCAATGGCTCTGCCCAGAGGTGCGGTTATCCCTTGCGCTGCTATTTTCGCGCGCCCGCATCCGTGCCCTTGTGCGTTCCTGTGTGCGTGCCTCTCTGTGCCGCCACGCTCACAGCAGCGCTCGCCGGCACGCTGCACTACGCCATAGCTCTGCCCAGACGAGCGCTTACCCGTGTGCGGTTACCCCCTTGTGTTGCTACCCGTGCACTTGCGCGTGCCCGCGTGCGTGCTTGCCTCTTGTGTGTGGGCCTGTGTGTGCTACCTCAATATGCATCTTCTCCTGTGCGTGTGTGTGAATGCGTGTGTGTGCATGTGCATGTGCATGAATGCGCGTGTGTGAATGCGTGTGTGTGTGTGTGTGTGTGTGTGTGTGTGTGTGTGTGTGTGCACATGCATGCGTGCATGTGTGCATGTGTGCATGTGTGCATGCAGATGCTGTCATTGTCGTCACCCAGTCATACAGTCTCGGGGAGCTGCGCTCCGCAATGAGGGGTATGTTATCTCTCACACGCACTCACACACACGCAAACACTATCCCTCTTGTCATCATCCCCTCCTGCCGCACATAGCATCCCATCAATTCTCCTCACCACCTGGTTTTCCGTTTCCTTAGTTAATGCACCCTCTCTCACATTCTATGCATGGTTACCCATCTTCCACTGCCGGTGTTACCTAGTCTCACTGCCACTGTTACCCTGTCTCACTGCTCACTGCATAGCAGTGAGAGTTTTATAACCGCTTTCAAAAGCAACAGCTCTCGCTGCTCGGTATTCCCGCTGGTACTTACACCACAATGTCTAAGAAAAAAACTCTACTCTCTTGTTTCTTCGCTCCCTCCGGCTTTGCACCGCACAGCATGGCATGAACGGCAGGAGCACCAGAAGATCTACCCACCCATGTTTGCGTCTTTGCTAAGCCTTTACTACGGCATTGAGTGGGTCATGGTGAGTGGCTTCATGTGGTGGTGGGGAGTGCGTGAGAGATGATGGATGAGGGATGAGAATTGAGGGACGAGGGATGGGGGATGAGGGATGGGGGATGGGGGATGAGGGATGAGGGATGAGGGATGAGGGATGAGGGATGGGGGATGAGGGATGAGGGATGAGGGATGAGGGATGAGGGATGAGGGATGGGGGATGGGGGATGGGGGATGAGGGATGGGGGATGGGGGATGAGGGATGGGGGATGGGGGATGAGGGATGAGGGATGAGGGATGGGGGATGGGGGATGGGGGATGAGGGATGAGGGATGATGGATGCATCCCCTTCCACATCTACCGAGGTCTCAAAGCAAGCCATTCCCCAAGTCATTCGCCCGTTTGTTTCCATTTCACCAACTCATCAAACCCATGTGGCCTGATCAGGACGCAGTTTGTATCCAAACACATCTTCACAATTCCCTTCCCCACATCCCGTCTTCCCCTCACCGCTCCTTCAGACAGGCAATCTCGTTGCGCCCATGCTCACGCACGCCCTCCTGAACCTCGTGATTCTGCACATGAGTCTTGTACGAGTGGGTGAAAACCGCAAGCCCCCAGTGGCCCCAACACACCCACCGCAGCCACCGCAATCACCTCTGCCTGCCCAGCCGACTCAGCCGACCCAGCCTGCAAACAAGACGCTCTGATTGGCTCCAGCTAGCTTGCCAGTCAGCAAGAAGCGTCCTGTGATTGAGATGACTAACGGGCACAGGGACCTGGGAAGGAAAAGAGGGTTTTGATGATTTTGTTTTTTTCCCACAAGTACGGTAGCCAGGGCTAACTTTAGTAAAATGACCCGTCTGATGTCAAGACCGGGTCCTGGCTCCTTGTCTGATTGTCAGACGAAAACTGTAACCTTGTCTAGCTTTCCAGACGAATCCTAAATACTTGTCTGAGAAGACATAAAGCAAGCAAGCAATACTCTCAAATATGTTTAAAAAAACCAAGTTATTGTGATGAATAGCCCTAATGGTCCAGTCAGTAGAATATGGAGCAGTGAGAACTGAGGTTTCCAGTTCGAATCTTATAGTCTGCTTGTCTCGAGAGTTTTGCCTTCAGTCGCAAAATACTCGATATCTGCAATCTCAGACGAACTGTATAAGGCTGTCTGAGAAATCAGATGAATAGAAAAAGCTTCTCTAAAAAAATCAGACGAAATTAAACAACATGTCTACGGCATCAGATGAACCAGTAAAAATGTGTTCAGAATCCAGAAATTCAGACCAAAAATTTCTGATAAAGTGAGCCCTGACGGTAGCATGACTGGAGTGGGTTGGGGTTGGGGCAAGTGGCTGTGTTATTTACTCTTTTGTGCACACACAACCTGCTCGCTGCCCAGGCACTGTAGTGGTTAAGTGCCTGTGTTTTTTAAATGACTGGAGTTGGAGTTGTAGGGAAAGGTAAGCTGTATATTGATAAACAACGGTATTTGAAGGTGTGAAACAGCCAAATGCAGTATAGCACGTTGGAAATCTTTACTGTAACATTGGGAGGTGGTTGTGGACAGTGTACTACTGTATGCAGACAGTAACAAATGAACAATAGTGGACTGGACAGGACCCTTCACAATAGTGCCATATAATCATGATGTTTCAGCGCCATCCCATCCCCAGTGCCCTCCGAAGGGTCTCCTCCCAACTGCACTGCAATGTGCTGTGCCCTTCCAGTGTAACGATACTCGTGACTCCACTCCAGTCTAGGTCAACTGAATTAATTCACCTCCCCTCCTTCCCTCCCCCCCATGCCCGCTTGATCATCTTCTTTTCCTTGCCTTCGTCCCCTCAATCATAGCCCGGATCTTCCCCCGCAGTATCGACCGCGCAGTATACCTCAACGAAAACGCATACGATTCATTCCGAGTCACCGCTCCCCCATGCTCTCCCCTCCCGTCGCACGGAAAATACCACAGCCGCACGCTCATCCCACACGCCCGCGCTAAAGACTCTTTCATCGGCCGCGTGCGATAGTCCCTGCCGACCTCCCACATGCACCCGCATTCCCCCGTGTTTGCTCTGAGAGGGGTGAAGTCTGGGTGGTAAAGCTCCAGCAGTCCCAGGTATCGGAACGCCTCGTGCCATTCATAGTACAGCCCTGTGCCACAGATGCGATCCATGGCTTCTAGCTTGCACCGCCGCCCATACCCCAGACCTGTAACCAAAGAAGTATGGAGTTTGGTGGCCGGGGTAAACCATGGGGGAGGAGGGGGAGGGGAGGGAGGGAAGGGAGGGGAGGGAGGGGAGGGAGGGAGAAGAGGGGAGTGGTGGGGATTGCAGGGATGATGAAAGATGCTCTGAGAGGGGTGAAGTCTGGGTGGTAGAGCTCTAGCAGCCCCAGGTATCGGAACGCCTCGTGCCATTCATAGTACAGCCCTGTGCCACAGATGCGATCCATGGCTTCTAGCTTGCACCGCCGCCCGTACCCCAGACCTGTGCGGAAAGAGAAAATGGGGAGCGAGGGTTTGGATTTTGAGAGGTTTGGGTTGAAGGATGTGAAAGCTTGGGAAATGAGAGTCTGGGTTTTGATGGGTAGGAGGGGGGTGAGGGCGGAGAGGGGGGAGGAGAAGAGGGAGTGAGGGAGGTTGCAGGGATGATAGAAAATGCAGGAGGGTGTAGGCTTCGTTTAAGCAACGCAGCTACAGGGGATAACAGCAGCTGACAGGTGCAGTAGGCAAGTTTGGAGAATTCTCAAAAGTCAGCTGAGTATTCAGGGTGGCATTAGCTTTGATTAAACGACATATTGGAAAGCTGGGGAGCAGGTGTAGGAGGGCATTGGAGTCGACTCAAAAGTCAAAAGTCACTTCTTGAGTCGACTCAGAAGTCAAAAGTCACCTTTTCAGTCGAGTCAAAAAGCGCACCTGGGTGGAAGCGGTGGGGGGAGTCGTTGCGAAAGCCAAGGTGCCCCTCCCACTGCAGAGGCGCGTGCGGCTGCAAATCCCTGTAGAGCGTGCTGCCGTTGAGCCAGAGGGGCGACTGAGGGCCGTCTACCTTAGCCACTGGGATCTGATGCATAGGTGGTGGGTGGTGGGTGGTGGGTGGTGGGTGGTGGGTGGTGGATGGTGGATGGTGGATGGTGGATGGTGGATGGGGCATACGGGGGTAGAGGGGGGAGAGAGAGATGAATGCAAGTTTGTCTCAGCCCTGCTGTTGAGCCAGAGGGGCGACTGAGGGCCAGATACCTTGGCCACTGGGATCTGATGTGTATCCGGTGGGTGGGGCATACGGCGGAAGAGGGGGCAGAGGGAGCGGAGGGGGAAGAGGGGGGAGTGAAAGAGAGTTTGTTTCGAGACGCGGTAGGGCGCGCTGCCGTTGAGCCAGAGGGGCGGGCGATTGACGGCCGTCCATCCACCTTCGCCACTGGGATCTGATCTGATGGACGGTGGATGGTGAACAGGACGCACGGGGGAAGAGGGGGGACGGAGGGGGAAATGAAGGCAAGGTTGTTTCGAAACGTGGTGGAAGGTGCCGCCGTGCTGTTGTTAAGCCAGAGGGGCGGAGAGACTTTTGAGTCGACTCAAAAGAAACGTGGTGGAAGGTGCCGCCGTGCTGTTGTTAAGCCAGAGGGGCGGGCGATTGAGGGCCATCAGTCTACCTTGGCCACTGGGATCTGATGGACTGTAGACGGCAAGACATGCATGGACATGGGAGGAAGACATGAGAACGCACATGCATGCAGCAAGCAAGCATCCGTCTCCCCTGCCTGCCTGCACCGGTTTCACCCGTTCTCGCCATCCTCCCTGCTTCAATCCCCCAGAATTCCTAGAAAGACCTTCAGAACCCCCCCCCCCCGATTCTCCCTCTCTCGTCAGCGCCCTCTCTCTGTTCTCATTCGCACCTTGAGGTTCTTTTTCCCGGCGGCCTCGTGGCGGGAAGCAGCAGCAAGGATGAAGCCCCACATCTCTGCCGTGAAGAAGTGGTTCCCGTCCAGCGGCAGCACCCACCGCGCCCCGTGCGCTATGCCGTGCTCTATCATGTGGTTGCGCACCTCGTTCAGCTCTGGTGGCCCGGGTGGGGTGGGGTGGGGTGGGGTGCGGCGGGGTGGGGTCGGGTGGGGTGGGGTGGGGTGGAGTGGGGTGGGCATAGGCGGCGGCAGTTGAGTGATGCGCGTAAACACGTAGTTGCGCAGTGTGCCCCAAGAGGAAAACTTGGAAGGGAGGGAAGGGGAAGGAGCGCCAAGGAGTGGAATAAATGGTTGAGAGTTGTGTGTGTGCTATGCCATGCGCTATGCCATGCGATATGCATCTGATATGCCCTCGATATGCCATGCGGTATGCCATGCGCTATGCCATGTGCTATGCCATGCGATATGCCATGTGCTATGCCATGTGCTATGCCATGTGCTATGCCATGCGCTATGCCATGCGCTATGCCATGCGCTATGCCATGCGATATGCCATGCGATATGCCATGCGATATGCCATGTGCTATGCCATGTGCTATGCCATGCGATATGCCATGTGCTATGCCATGTGCTATGCCATGCGCTATGCCATGCGATATGCCATGTGCTATGCCATGCGCTATGCCATGCGATGTGCCATGCAATATGCCATGCGCTATGCCATGCGCTATGCCATGCGAAATGCCATGCGATATGCCATGTGCTATGCCATGTGCTATGCCATGCGCTATGCCATGCGATATGCCATGTGCTATGCCATGCGCTATGCCATGCGATATGCCATGCGATATGCCATGCGCTATGCCATGCGCTATGCCATGCGAAATGCCATGCGCTATGCCATGCGCTATCATGTGGTTCCGCACCTTGTTCACCTCTGGTGGGGTTGAGAGGGAGGGCAGGAAAGGGGTTGGTTTGGGAGGGGGGAGGGAAGAGGGAGACGAAATGGATCGGCGACAGGGGCTGAGAGTTGGGAAATGGGTGAAAGAAAGGATAAGAGAAGAGGGGATGGGAGAAGAGAAGAGGGATGCACAAGTGACCGCATGGGGTAGCCACGCACCTGTGACGGCATCTAGCCATGCGTGCTCGGGCAGGGAGGCAAGGCGCGTGTAGTTGATGCGGAATACGAGGATGTCCTGCGGTGAGGCACGGTGAGGTGCGGTGAGATGAGAGAAGAGGAATAGAAAGGAGAAGGGGGGAAGAGAAAGGGGACGGGGGGAAGAGAAAGAAGAAGGGGTGAAGAGAAAGGGGACGGGGGGAAGAGAAAGGGGAAGGGGGGAAGAGAAAGGGGACGGGGGGAAGAGAAAGGGGACGGGGGGAAGAGAAAGGGGAAGGGGGGGAGAGGGGTGGCTTGAAGATGGAATGGGATGCGAGAAAGCAGGGAGAGCAGGGCGAGAGGGCGAGCAAGGCGAGCAGGGCGAGCAGGGAGAGCATCTTCCATGCAGGTTGATTCAAAACACTAGGCTGCGCTCACGCCGCTTCTAGTTGCGGCTCAGCGGGATGGATAGGGAAGCATGGAGTGAGGGGAGGCGGGGGGGGGACGGAAAATACTTTTGAGGAGCCTCAAAGATGGGAAAGAGAGGAGGAGAAAGGGACGGAAGAAGCCTTTTGAGGCACCTCAGAAACCCTAGGATGTGACCACGTGGCTTCTAGTTGAGGTGCCGAGCGATGGATAGAAAGGGGAGGAGGGTTTAGGGAAAAGAAGCGGGGTGAGAGGGTCGGGACAGGAGGGAGAAGGGGAGAGGGGTTAGGTGGGAAAGGGGGAAACGGGGAAGGGGAGAGGAGAACTTGAAAGGTGGGGGGCGGGTGTTTGAGAAGAGGCTGAGTCCATGCTGCACCCATGCTTCACTCACACCCCGTGCTTCACTCACACCCATGCTGCACCCGTGCATGACTCACATACATTGTGTATCCGTTGTTCAGCAGCAGCTCAAGAGCCATCTTCTCCACACTGCTGTTCACAACTTCTAAAGCGCGTCATACAAGGTGTCCCTCCCTAATCCACTCACATCCATGGTGTATCCGTTGTTCAATAGCAGCTCCAAAGTCATCTTCTCCACAGTGCTATTCACGATGTTATTCAGTACCCACAGCCGCCGGCACCCGGGCAGGTGCTTCGGCTCGTACTGTAGCGTGTACTGCAGGTTGTTGAACAGCTGTCCCTCGCATTGTAACGGCGGCATGTCGTTTCCGATCATCCGGTACAGGAAGATACGTGGCACGCTGTGAGTGGACAGCACGCTCGCGCTGCTGATTCCGAAGCTCGTCTCCTGGGTCGTGTGAGTTGCATGGTTCGGTGACTCGGAGGTACCGAAAAAGTGGTATTCTCTTCCCCCGCGGATCAGAACGACTATAAAGAGGACGACGGTTGCTAGAACGGCACACGCGAGCCGACATAGGAGCGCGGCTCGTAGTTTTTTGAGAGGAACGCGAGGGACCTGAGAGGCGCCGGATGGGAGGGAATTCTTCGTAGCGAGGACAGGCGAGGTTGTGTCCTCGAATAGGAGAGACGACCAAGGTAGGCTCCATCGCTTACGTACTTTCTGCTTGCTTGCTGCTGCTGCTGTTGCCATGGCGACGGATGGGCCCAAAGAAAGGCGTTAACGGAATAATGGCTAGAGCAAACGGGACATTGACAGGTGAGATTGTCACACGGTCGCTTTTCTTCTTGCGGTTCTGTCGTGTCGGCTAAAGCAAGATAGATTTTAGAAAACTACGGAACTAGATTGCTTCCAATTGGGACTGCAAGTAACTGCCGCTATAATTCCCCTCTGCTATTTGCCACAGCTGAAGTCAAATATGGGATCCAAACGTGGGCTTTCGACTGGTCTGGAAAACAAACTTACGAGGCCCAGATCTTTGGGAATATGCCGTGAATGCACCCAGAAAGGGGCGGAAACTAACCCTTCATGATTACGGGCACGAGCGCAACCTTGCGTACGCACGCCGCAAGAAAATACAAGTTTTTAAGGGTTTTTCTAGATCTACAATGACACCTGTCAGGAACCTCATCCGTCTCGGCAAGGTCAGGTTCGGTTTGGAAAGTCATGAAAAACTCTCTAGTCCTCGGTCACCAGTGGAGGAAAGAGAAGGGATACGTACTGGGAGGAGGAGGAAGCCTAGCTTCAGGGTTGTACTTTGCAGGAAAAGAAAGATAACACAGACTACCCCCGAAAAACACTTGAAACAGCTGAGGCAGCCTAGCCCGTTCTCGGATTCTTAGGGCATTATGGACATTTGCCATCGCAGCGGAAGACCTCCAGACAGCGAATCACCGAGGTTGTCGAAGTCCAGAGTAGCGACGCGAAGCGAAGCACACCGAACCGAATGTGGTGCGAATCAGCACCATCCGAACCAGAAGACCTGTTATCAAGGCTCGGTGAGGTGGCTTCCCCCAGATTTTCGTGCCTCGGAAAGCCTATTTGAATGACGCGGCTTTCTGGACGCGTGTTGATTGGTTCGGTCGTTACTGGCCATGGCAGTAGGTTTCGGCTGTGGCTCGGAATGTCAGACAGCTGAGCCATTTTGGAGGGAAGAGACTGAGGGTACTGGTACACCATGATGACTTCAGTGAAACAGAAGAACACAAAATTACGTCCAATCTTGTATTTAGTCCATTTTTGTATTCACCTCTACCTAGGACTCCCCAGTCATCAATACTGCTAAAGACATACGGTGATGCTGGATGTGCTGACAACCTAAGCAGACTTATAAACGCTCACAAGGGATAAGCATAGCAGCCTAATAAGCGGCTTTTGCCGTAGGGTAACGAGGGATAAGAACAGTAGCTACTGTATTCCGCAACCAGCTCACACAAACATTCTCCTCAGCCTGCACCTCTCACATGTCAGTGCTACCTGCACAATAAAAAACTGCCACGCGTTTACCTTCTGCCTGTCTTGTTTGTGAACACTGCCTGCATGGCACCACCCGTGCACTAAATCCCCCCAAAATCATAACCACGTCCCACTAGCACATCTCCCTCTGATTCCTCCACCCCCCTTCGACTCTCTCCTCCCTGGCCCTACCCTGCAATCCCCACACATCCTCTCTCCCCTCCTTACCATCACTACCGTTATTTCTCCCCCTCACTCCTCAAGTCCTCAACCCGCTCCCCACCTTTTCTTCCGACCCTCCTTTCCCTACCCCACCCACCCTCCCCTCCCCTCTCCTCGCCCCTCTCAGGTAGGCGTTCTGGGAGTTCGGGGTGTGGTCCCCCCACCAGAAGCACCACCACCACCACCAGCATCACCCCCCGAAGCAGCGGGCGGCCACGTATACCCCTGCTGCATCACCCGTAGCGTCTTCACCACGCTGCTCATCATCGGGCGCTCATACGGGTTTCTCGCCGTGCAGTGCAACACCAACAGCGCCGCCTTCTGCACGCCCCGAGCCGGCCACTCCCTCCCGAGCCTCGGGTCCATCACCTCCTCCACCCGCTTCCGATCCGCCAGCATAGGCTCGGCCCATTCCAACAAATCGCCCTCGTCCTCCTCCTCGTCGTCCTCGTCTCCAGCTTCAGCATCCATCACCTCGCTGTTGCCCCTGGTCCTGCTTTGCTTCCTCGACTCGTCTTCCTCGTCTGTGGGGAAATCGCTGGCTTGCCGGCCGGATAGAAGCTCTAGAAGCAGCACCCCGAAGCCGTACACGTCGCTCTTGGGAGTCAGATGGCCTGGGTGGTGGGAATGGGGAAACAAAGCGGTAAAAAGCGAGAAACAAGCGGGAAACAAGCGGGAAAAAGAGGGGAGTGCAGGCACGCGTGAGTAGAAAGAAGCTCCAGCAACAGCACTGCCAAGTGGTGGCGTACTGGTCGCTCTTGGGAGCCAGATGGCCTGGGTGGTTGGTGGAAGAACCCGGAGAAAGTGGGAGAGAGAGGGGTGCGCAGGCTGGGGGTTGAGTGGGAGAGAGAGGGTGTCTCGGATAGGGTGGTTAGTTGGTAGTGGTTAGTAGAGGTGCGTAGGTGGGAATTCGTTGGGTTTGAAGATGTTGGGCTTAGGAGGTCAGTAAGCTGATGGAGGAAAACACATGAGGCTGTGCATGCAGGAATGAAGGTAGAACATAAAAGGCGCACCACATGTGAGCAAGTGAGCGAGTGGAGTGAGTGAGTGAGCGGGGGAGTGAGTGCGCGAGTGGGGGGGTCAGTGCGCGAGTGGGGGGGTGAGTGCGCGAGTGGGCGAGTGAGTACGTGAGTGGGGGAGTGAGTGCACGAGTGGGACAAGTGAGGGAGTGAGTGGCAAGAGTGAGTTAGTGAGTGGGGGATGGAGTGCGTGAGTGGGGGAGTGAGAGAGTGAGTGAGTGGGAAATCGAGTGAATGGGCAAGTGAGCGAGGGAGAAAGAGAGTGAGCACCCACCAGTGAAGAGGTAGTCTGGGTCGGCATAGCCATACGTGCCCACCACCTGCGTGGTCACGTGCGTCTTATCCCCCACCGGCCCGTCTTTTGCCAGCCCAAAGTCTGCAAGCTTGGGGTTGAAATCCTGGGCGGGGGAGAAGAGGGGGGGAAAAGGAATCGGGACAGGGAGAGAGAAGGTATGCTTAAGGGCTGAGCAACAGAGCAGAGAGCCTAAAGCCTGCCAGCTAGGAGTTAAAATCCTGTGCAGGGGAAAGGGGGGGGAAGGGGGAGGGGTGAGAAGAGGGGGAGAGGGAGACAGGAAGAGGGACGGCTGATGGTGCCTTGGGAAGTTGCATGATTTGAAGGCACACAAGGGCTGATACAGAAAGCAAAGAGGCTTCTGAGAGATTCCGAAAGTGATGCGAGGGCAGACAGGGGCTGAATGAATTAGAGAAGAGAACAGAGAGGCATGAGCTCTCGTCCCCCACATCTTCCCCACCCCTCCACCAGTTCTCTTCTCACCTTAAGCACGTTGGCGGACTTAAAGTCGCGGTAGATGATGGGGCGGTGGGGTTGCTCATGCAGGTACACCAGGCATTCCAAACCCATACCCTGCGCCTCTCAGAGCATTAATCAGACATTCCAAACCCAAACCTCCTCCCTCCCCGTAAACACTACCTTCACCTTTCCCACATTCTTTTCCAGGAGGTGTCCTCCACTCATCGTGTCCTCCCTCTCTCCATCCCTCTCCTCCCCCTTCGGCCCCTTCTCCCCCACTCTTCCTCCATCTCCCTCCCTCTGCCCCACAGCCCTCCTCCCCCCTCCCCCTCCCCACACCCCTCTCACCTTATCCAGCAGCACGTTGGCGGCCTTAAGATCACGGTAGATGATGGGGCGGTGGGGGTTCTCATGCAGGTACACCAGGCACTGCGCCACGCCCAGCGCTATGCGCATGCGCAGCCCCCATGGCAGCGGGCTGCCCACGTCTGCAGGAGCAGGCGGGGAGGGGGAGGGGAAGTGGAAACGGAAGACAGGACTCTAAGATGTGGCCTTGAGCAGCGCTATGCTCATGCGCAGGCCCCATGGCAGCGGACTGCCCACGTCTACACAGGCGGGTGGGGGGTGGGGAGGAGGTGGGGGGAAAGTGGAATTGGAAGACAGGACTTTGAGACGTGTCAACACTCTTGGTATTGACCAGGGCTATGCGCATGCGCAGGCCCCATGGCAGCGGGCTGCCCACGTCTGCAGTCATGGGAGGGAGAGGCGGGGGGGGAAGATGGAATGCGCGACTATGCCAACATCTGCAGGCACAGGCTTCTTTGAGAATTCTCAAAAAAACCCTACAGCATCAGGGAGAGGCGGGGGGGGGGGGGGGGGGGGGGGGGGGGGAAGAGAGAATGTGTGACTATGCCCACATCTGCAGGCACAGGCTTCCCAGACGCCTCACTGATCGCGGCAATGCGCATGCACTGCCCCCATGGCAGCAGGCTGCCCACTTCTGCAGGGATAGAGGGGAGGAAGAGGCGGGAGAGGAAGTAGAATTGGAAGACAGGACTCTGAGATGAGTCAATACTCGTGGCCTTGAGCAGGGCTATGCGCATGCGCAGGCCCCATGGCAGCGGGCTGCCCACGTCTGCAGTCATGGGAGGGAGAGGCGGGGGGGGAAGATGGAATGCGCGACTATGCCAACATCTGCAGGCACAGGCTTCTTTGAGAATTCTCAAAAAAACCCTACAGCATCAGGGAGAGGCGGGGGGGGGGGGGGGGGGGGGGGGGGGGGGGGGGAAGAGAGAATGTGTGACTATGCCCACATCTGCAGGCACAGGCTTCCCAGACGCCTCACTGATCGCGGCAATGCGCATGCACTGCCCCCATGGCAGCAGGCTGCCCACTTCTGCAGGGATAGAGGGGAGGAAGAGGCGGGAGAGGAAGTAGAATTGGAAGACAGGACTCTGAGATGAGTCAATACTCGTGGCCTTGAGCAGGGCTATGCGCATGCGCAGGCCCCATGGCAGCGGGCTGCCCACTTCTGCAGGGATGGAGGGGAGGGAGAGGGCGGGAGGGAAGTGAGGGGAGGGGAAGGGGAGGGCATGGCAGGAGGGCACGGAAGGGAGGGAGGGGAGGGAAGGGTGGGAGGGGAGTGATGGGAGGGAGGGGAAGGAGGGGCAGGACGGGAGGGAGGGAGGGAGGGAGGGAGGGAGGGATGGAGGGAGGGGAAGGGAGGGAAGCTTATCAATGAAAGCTCAACTACCATCCCCTCCCGCCATCCCACCCCACGGATGCGGCCCAAAGCCCGCCCAACGTGACTGCATCTCCTGATTAATGGGCAGTTTGGATGCGATAACAGGAGGAAGGGCGGAGCCCCATTCCTGGTATGCACCCATGCACACCCGCACCCATGCACACACGAACCTGAGAAGAGGTAGTGGTCGAGCGAGCCGCGCTCTTATGAGCTCATAAACAAGCAGGCGCGAGCCCCCCTCCATGCGCGTGACACAGGCACACGCACACATGCACACACGTATGCACACACGCATGCACACACGCATGCACGCACGTATGCACACACGCATGCACGCACGTATGCACACAGGAACGAACCTGAGAAGAGGTAGTGGTCGAGCGAGCCACGCTCCATGAGCTCATAAACAAGCAGGCGCGAGCCCCCCTCCATGCAGTAGCCTATGAGCGTCACCAGGTTGGGGTGGCGCAGCGTGCCCAGCATGTTCACCTCTGCCTGTAGGGGGGGTCGTGGGGGGACGAAGGGGGGATGGGGGGAGAAGTGAGGGAGAGGGGTTGCGGGGAGCACAAGGTTGGGGTGGCGCAGCGTGCCCAGCATGTTCACCTCCGCCTGTGGGGGGGGGGGATGGGGAAGGGAATGAGGGGGGAGGGGATGCGAGTGGGGGCGAATGGGGGGAGAGTGGAGTTGTATGAGCCGCCCTCTATGCAGTAGCCTATGAGCGTCACCAGGTTGGGGTGGCAGCAGCGTGCCCAGCATGTTCACCTCCGCCTTTAGTGGGTGTATGTGGGGGAGGGGGGGGGGGGGGGGGAGAGAATGGGGGGACTGGAGGGAGATGGTCGGAAATAGGGGGAAGAATGGGGGGACTGGAGGGAGATGGTCGGAAATAGGGGGAAGAATGGGGGGAGATGGGGGAGAGAAGGTGGTGCGTGGGGTAGGAGGGAGCAGGAGGGGGGGTGCCGCAGCGTGCTGCCCAGCATGGTCTCCTCCGGCCTTTGAGGTGCCACGTGTGAGGGAGGGGAAGGGGGGAGGGGGAGGGGGGAGGGGAAGGGGGAGGGGGAGGGGGAGGAGGAAGGGGGTGGGGAGCGGGAGGGGGAGGAGGAAGGGGAGGGGGAGCGGGAGGGGAGGAGCTGGGGGTTCAATCATTGGCCTGAGAGATGTGGTGATTAGCTAGGTTGAGGGGGAGTGAGTGGGGAGAGGAAGGGGTTGGAGGAGCGGTGTCTCAAAAGGAGAGGCGTCTCAACAGCAAACTATTATCACAAGAGCATGGGGAGGAGGGAGGAATGGCTTTTGAGACGTCTCAAAAGTCGTCTATTATCACAAAGTTCATGGGGAGGAGGGAGAAATAGGGGCATCATTGGCAGGGGGGTTGAAGGAAGGCGGCAACAACGCGGGGGGGGGGGGGGGGGGGGGGGGGGAGGTTATAGAGAGAAAGTCGGATTGGAGAGAAAGAACGCGGGAGACGGTAAGACGAGGAAGAAGCCGGAAAGGAAGGAAGGGCGGAGGGAAAAGGAACGGGTAAAACGGGAGGGAAACGACTGGGGAGGAGAAAGGGTTAGGATAAGGGGGAAGGGCCGGGATCGGGATCTTGAGGGGAAATAAGGAGGAAGAAGAGAAGGAATGCGGAGGCAAGGGCTGGTAAGAATAACATACCATCCATTCCTTGTGGCCTTGCAGCCCATCTTCGTTCAGCTTCTTCACTGCAACAACCATCCGCCCACTCGTCTCCTCCGCTCCCCCCCCACGCCCCCCTCCCCCTCCGCCTCCCCTCCCCGCTCTCCCCCCACCCCCGACCGCAATCACGCCTTTATAAACCGACCCGAACCCCCCTTCACCGAGCTTCAGGTCGTTTTTTAACCCGCACGTGCCCTCTCGAAGCTCCCCATAGGAGAACGACCGGAGGCCCTGGGAGGAAGCATGGGAGGAGTAATTTGCTAGGTCGTCTGCTGCTGTCGGCAGCACGGGCCGCAGCGGCTGATTGTTGTTGTTGCTGCTGTTGTTGCTGCTGCTGTTGTGGCCTTGCGGTGTGACCGGGCCGGCAGGGGAGATGGGAGCAGCAACAGGGCTTCGACCCGAGGTGGTGGAGGATGGGGACGGTGGTTGCGGGATGGCTATGGACGGATGGTTGGATGCTGTTCCTTGCTGCTGCTGCTGCGGGTGGTTTGAGTTGCTGCCGCCGCTGTTCCTGCTGCCTGCACTGCTCTTGCTGCCGCCGCTGTTCCCGCTGTTCCCGCTGTTTCTGCTCGTCCTGCCAGCGCCAGTGCCGCCCCCCTCGCCGCCTTTGGGGGAGATTCCATCCGCGGAGTGCGGATTTCCCGCAGGGGGAACAGCAGGAGCGGAGGTGGCGGAAGGGGAAGATGCAGGGGGGTTTACAGCGCCTGGTTGGTTCGGGGTTGGCTCGGCGAGATCCGGGCCTGATTGGGAGGCAGGGAAAAGGTCCGGCCCAGGGGGGTTTGGGCAAGGGAAAGGAGGTTTGGGTAGTTGCATGTGTGTATGATATGAAGGTGGCGAGGGAAGAAATTCCCGGTCACATGTCTAGGGCAGGCAGCATAATGAATGAGAGAGATGAATCGTGAATGGGCATTGGATTGTATGATAACTGCTAGAAAGGACGGACGGAGAGACGAAACAAAGTTAATGGTTCAGGTACCGCGCAGAGGCATTCTGCAAGGCAATTGGTAGGTAAGGGGCATCACGAGGCAGCAGCACCACACGAACTGTCATCAGGACTGGTAGGACCCCAATGGAATCTCATCAGGATCCAGAACAATACAACAACTATCGTCTCTCCGTTCCGTTCCCAGCTCCAGCGCCAAGATAGATAGGTAGGTACCTGTCTGGCTGACATCCTCATCGACTGGCTGGCCCTACGCTACGCCTATACATACGACTGACTGCGTCTCTCTAACTCACTCCCGGCTCCAGCAGCGGTGGTGAACATCCGTGTGTGCATTCACTTGGAAAGAAGCATCCGACCAATGTTGGCTGGCGGGCGGTACGACTCATTCCCCATTCCCCTCCCCACACACAATGAATGACCCCCCCTACCCAATTTGTGAGTCGACTAAAAAATCCTTCCGATGCTGGCTGGGGGACAGTACGACGCCTTCCCCATTCCCTTCCCCACGCAACGACCCCCCCAACCCGTCCCGGGACCCACCCTCCGCTCTCTCCCCTCTCTCCTCTCTCTCCCCTCTCCCCCCTCTCTCCCCTCTCTCCCTTCTCTCCCCTCTCTCCCTTGTCTCCCCTCTCTCCCCTCTCTCTCATCTCTCCCTAACGATAATTTCCGGATCGCTCAGTCCAACTCTCTTCCCGCCCCGAATTTTTAGGCGCCTCAAGAACCATCCCGTCCCAGGACCCACCTTCCCCTCTCTCCCATCTCTCTCATCTCTCCCATCTCTCTCATCTCTCCCATCTCTCTCATCTCTCTCATCTCTCTCATCTCTCTCATCTCTCCCCTCTCTCCCATCTCTCTCATCTCTCTCATCTCTCCCCTCTCTCCCATCTCTCTCATCTCTCTCATCTCTCCCCTCTCTCCCATCTCTCTCATCTCTCTCATCTCTCCCTCTCCATCTCTCTCATCTCTCTCATCTCTCCCCTCTCTCCATCTCTCTCATCTCTCTCATCTCTCCCCTCTCTCCCATCTCTCTCATCTCTCTCATCTCTCCCCTCTCTCCCATCTCTCTCATCTCTCTCATCTCTCCCCTCTCTCCCATCTCTCTCATCTCTCTCATCTCTCCCCTCTCTCCCATCTCTCTCATCTCTCTCATCTCTCCCATCTCTCTCATCTCTCCCATCTCTCTCATCTCTCCCATCTCTCCCATCTCTCCCATCTCTCTCATCTCTCCCATCTCTCTCATCTCTCCCATCTCTCCCCTCTCTCCCATCTCTCTCATCTCTCCCATCTCTCTCATCTCTCCCATCTCTCTCATCTCTCCCATCTCTCCCATCTCTCCCATCTCTCTCATCTCTCCCATCTCTCTCATCTCTCCCATCTCTCCCCTCTCTCCCATCTCTCTCATCTCTCCCATCTCTCTCATCTCTCCCATCTTTCTCATCTCTCTCATCTCTCTCATCTCTCTCATCTCTCCCCAAGGATCGTTTCCCTCTCCCCCGCTGAGTTCAACTCGCTTCCCGCTCCGCTGCCATGCCATGCACTTCGCGCCGTTCCGCCTCCGCAGCTTGGTTATCGTCCATACGATGGTTCTATTCTTATCCCAGCGGTTCGCACTCACGCGCGCAGTCACGACGAGCGGGCCGGCTACGTCCAATCACGCAGATTACGATCTTCGCGCGATCAACGATACCGCACGGCGATAGTCGCCAGGGCGTCGCAAGACGTCGCCAAGCGTTCAGGAATTTCGCGTCATTGATATGAGTGGAAGATGGTAGAGGGAGCCGATTCACTCACCCTGGAAAATGCTATCGTTGGATTCGGCTCCCGGGTTTAACTGTTGTTGCTGCTGCTGCTTCTGCTGCTGCAGCTGCTGCTGATTCTGCTGGAGTTGCGCCTGGTCCGCTCCTTTAGAAGGTTGTTTCTCGCCCACCACTCGCGTCTCGACGGAGAAACAGCTCCCCATGTTCTCCTCCTCCTCCTTCTCCTCCCCTTCCAACTCCTCCACCTCCTCCTCCGCCGCCGCCGCCCTAAAGGCGCGGGCGCTCACCGCACTCACGTCTTAACGTGGGACAGAAAGGGGGGGGGAAAAGGACGAGCGGACGAGCGGGGACGGGAAAAGGCAAAGGAGGGAGAGGAAGGGGGGAAGCCAGGGGATACTAGCGAAGGAACGACTACAACGAGCGAGAAACTAGAGATGCTAACGATGAAGCTATAACGGCGACAGACCAGAACTAGAAGAGCCGGAAATTAACTTATCCCACATTAGGGCAACTCAAGACCAAAACAGCTGTCAAACCAGCTTCTTGGGCTGTGAAAATGCTCTCGGCCATTGTGGTTTTTCCTCTGCATGATGGCTCAGACTTTAAGTACTACTTTGTACGGCCTACTCCTCGCAAACGAGCTCTAACCCAACATTTACATAGTTGCTCGCGAGCGAAAATGCAGTAGCCTGTCCAAGAAATTAGGTTCTTGTTCCCTAGCAACAGCAGCACCCCCTTTCACCCACTTTGCTTGACCTTGATGCGCGCTGCTTCTTACATTCTGAAGTAATTACTCCATTTGCTGCTAGCCATACAGTTTTAGATAATTGTACAGGACCCGAGAAAAAAATCGTTTGAAGCACACACCAAATCAGCCCAGCACATGAACAGCGATTGGCTTCGAGTTTCCGAATTGGCTGGGCAACTTGTTTTCTACTGGCTTACCTTTTTCCTCATTTCCCTCACACACTCGCCATCCACACCCACCACTCTCACTCATTTCCCCACCACCTGCACACACTCAACATCTCACCATAACGACTGTATCCAACTGTAACCCAGTGTTCCCGGTCTCCGGAAAAACATTGAGTGCACATTCTGAATTGCCCTCAATCTTCATCTCGCACTGAGTAGACGTTGTCGAATCAATAAGCTCCGTGCCGTGACCAAATTTTTAACAAATGAGGTTGTGGGAATCGATAAGGCACTTCGAGACTGGCTAAGGATGCACTTGAGCAAGCAATCCTGAAAATCCGTTGAGCAATCAATCTTGAAAATCCGTCTAATCCGCAAAGATACACTTTCTGGACTCCGATTACATTTTTTTTTTTGGTTCGAATTCATCTCAAAATGTGGACTCCGGCTGTAAGGAATTTCGCTAATTCCTTACTGAGGCATCTCTTACGCGTACAATTCCAACTTTCGGAATTCAGGCTCGGTCCGACGACCTCGCCTTCCGAACGTCTCCCGCGTCGCCCTCGGGTTTCCCAACCCCAAACCTGCACCCAACCTTCGCGCGACTCCGCGACCTCGGCCTAGCTAGCTGTGCTATATTATACCTAGGCCTCGATGTTTGCTCAGTAGTTGTAATCACTTCCGCGATATTGCATTCTGCGCACTCTTCTTTCATACAACTCATAACACTTGGTATCAGAGCTAATTTCCTAGGTTACCCTCCACTTTCCGGGGTAGTTTTAGTGCAGGGGTGCGATAGGTTTGGTGCAGGGCTGACTTTATCAGACTAAAATAGTCTGATTGTCTGAAATCTCAGGGTATTTTCCTACGGATCCTGATTTTTCAAACTTGTAAGATTTTCAAACATGAGTGCCTCAGACTTACTTGGTTTTGGATCCTGAGATTTTCAGAGTACTGACTTAGCCGATAATGGGTCTTCATACTACAGGGAGTACGGATCCTGAAATGCGGATCTGTGATTTCTACGTACATTCCGCTACGTCATATGTTGCCAGTGTACGAACACACTTCATGGCGCTGTCACGCGCAGAATCTGTCCTTGGCAACTTTTGCCACCCTTTTCCCTTAGAAATCTGCCAACTTGGCTCACTCTTCCACTCACGCGGGACCATCACTGCAGCTACGCGGTGTCAGCGAGGGAAACTGGTTAGCGTTGCGCCCCACGTGCTACATTTGTGGCAGTACTGTACTACAGTGGTTGTAGTGTGTTCTGAGTACTTCAGACTTGTGTTTTTGCGGAACCTGAAAAATCAGAGTGGCCATTCTCTGGGAAATATGCCTCAGACTAAAAATTTTCAGAGCCCCCAGAACATCAGACTGGATTTTTTTGAATAGTCAGCCCTGGTTTGGTGTGAGAAAGTTAGAACGAGAATGAATGACTAAGGAATGAAAGTGATACAAATATGAAACCTTAGAATTGTGTACCCCTTAGTGTCTAACCCGCTACAGCCTACACAGGCTAGATCATATAAGTTTGACACACCCCCATAGGCAAAGTGGGGGAGAACAAGGGGTCACAAGACCAGTCAAGCAAAGCAAGGCAAAGCAAGCTCAGGGTGGATCACAACGTCACCACACATTCAGAGCACAAGTCAAGGCCACAAGGCCAGTTCACATGCATGATTACATATATATATAACTCTAAACAAGCAAGAGCAGTTATATATATGTGTAACAGTACAAGCAAGGTCAAGAAGTGAGCAAGTGAGGCAAGGTAGGCACAAGACCTAACAGAGTACAGAAGCGCTGATGATCACAAGGCGCGAGTGCCTTAGTGAAGATATCAGCAGTGTTGGCCTCAGAGGCCACGTAAGCAAGGCGCAGCTGACCGCGCTGCTGCAGCTCACGAGCAAGAAAGTAGCGAAGAGCGATGTGCTTCGTTCTGTGCTCCAGTCTGTGCTCCCGACACAAGGCCAGCATGACCTTGTTGTCTACGTACAGAACTGGAGGAGAACGAGGCGGCTCTCCCAGGTCAGTCAGCAGGTAGGTGAGCCAGCGTAGCTCCTGTGCAGCCATGGCCCCTGCGTAGATCTCAGCCTCACAACTGGAGCCGAGAACAGAAGACGAGCGGGTAGACCGCCACGAAACAGAGCCGGAACCAAGGCTGAAGGTGTAACCCTGTGACGACCGCTGTGTAGCCTGGTCGTCAGCCCAAGAAGCGTCTGCGTGACCAGTGAGGACCACTGGACTCCGCCCTCCAAGCACTAGCCCCATGCCCGACGTACTGCACAAGTAGCGCAACACCCTCTTCGCTGCAGCCATGTGCTCTGGTCTGTGTCTCCCAGGAGCAACATAGCATGCCAGAATGCTAAGAGGGTATGCAAGGTCAGGTCGAGTGCAGGTCATCAGGTACATGAGGCAGCCAACAAGCTCTGGGTACGGGCCACTCGACTCTACGGACTCATCCGAAGGCAGAGGTGAGAGCGAGTGGCGAGTAGACAGAGGAGTGGCCTGAGGCGAGGAGTACGTGAAGCCGAAGCGCTGAAGGACCTGCAGCACCATGTGTGACTAAGTCAGAGTAATGGTGCGCTGTGCTCTGTCCCGGGTGATCTGCAAGCCAAGGTAGCTGCGCAGTTCACCTAGGTCTGTGCACGTGTGTCTCTTCTGCAGCTCGGACTTCACGTAGGCGAGTCCAGCAGTGTCAGCTGTGGCAAAGACCAAGTCTTCGACGTACACGAGGATGTAGAACGGCGGCAAAGAGGTGTCGGTGCGCAGAAACAGCGACGGGTCGGCAGTAGAAGGAGCAAACCCAAGAGCCGCAAGTGTAGTCCTCAGTGTGTCGTGCCACTCACGAGGTGCCTGGTGGAGACCGTAGACTGGCCGCCGGAGGCTCCACTGGGTGCCAGGAGGAAACGTCCCAGTGAAGCCAGGTGGGCGGCGCAGCCAGATCTCCTCGTGCAGGCTGCCCTGCAAGAAAGCAGTGCTAAAGTCAAGAGAGTGAAGCTCGTAGTCACGGTGAGCGGCTATGTGCAGCAGTACCCGAAGAGTGGTCATCTTCGGGGTGGGAGAGAAGGTCTGAAAGTAGTCAACTCCCTGCCGCTGACTGAAGCCACGAGCCACGTAACGCGCCTTGAAGACAGGCGGAGAACCCGGCGGCCGCTTCACCCTGAAAATCCACATGCCACTGACGATGTTCGCCCCAGGCGGGGGAACCTCGTCAACGTAGGTGCCTGTGGACTTCCAGGAAGCCATCTCTGCGTCCATGGCTGCCTGCCACTGAGAGGAGTAGGGACCCTCTATCGCCTCCGCGTAAGAGCGCGGAGTCGGGATGTCTGGTGCATCCGGGTCTCCCTCAGGGGCAAGTAGCATGGACACGAGATGAGGTGAAGCAGCCGCAAGACACTGGAGGTCCTCCTGTCTGTCCTCAAGGACGTCCGTGCCAAGAGCACACTCACCCCCGACGGACGGAGGACAGACAGACGCAGACTCAGTAACCAGACTAGCAGCGTAGTCTAGACGACAGCGAGCAGCGAAGTCGACAAGCTCAGCAACTAGGGCAGACGCCGCAGTGGACTCAAAGGAAGGGTCAGTGACGACAGTAGCAAGGAGACGCGTGACAGTAGGACTGGCAGCACGAAGGGAGTCTGACTCCGGGTCAGCAAGAGCAGGAAGAGAGGACTCAGGCGGAGAAGGCAAAGGGGCACGCAGAGGAGCAGTGGACGGACGCAGAGACATCCGGTGCGTGCCGGGGACGGGGGGAGGACGCTGACGCGAACCACGACCACCAGTGCGAGCAGCACGGACAGGCGACGCAGGACGAGACGCAGG